AGCAGTGAAAGATTTTTCAGTTTTTAATAATAGAATCGCTGATGAAACCCTAAACACTGTTAAAATGAATTCCAAGTTTGTACGAATAATATACTAAGTTACAGTGAGAGTGTATATCACGTTTACTCTGCGCTTCTTGTTTATGAATCTCTCAGATTAGGCGGTCCATTAAAATCTTTGTCCAAGCGCTAAACAACTAATAATTTTTTACTATTTCGACTAGACATTGGATATTGAGGCTCAGACCAGTTTTATGACTACGCGCTCGTTTCAAAAAGGGCAGTAATTTTTGTACTTGTTGTGATTATACTTGCTTTGGGTACTTATTGCACCAAAAAGCATTCTTGGTCTACTTTAACTAAAAGTACTTCGGTTAAAGTTTGAAGTTTTTTGCTAAATTTTGTTCTAGGTACCTTTTTTTACTCCTAGACTAACACTTGTGTTCACATTGTGATCATTGTGTTTTTAAACCTTTTAAATCTAATTACAATGGTTGGTAAGACTCACACATGTGGGCAATCAAGTTGTTGGTTCCAAGTTGAGGAGGGAATGCAGTGTGATAACTGTAAAAAGTGGTACCACAAAATGTGTACACGCCTAGGTCCGATGGCATACAAAAGATGCTCGAAGCCTAACTCACATTGCCTTTGTATGTTCTGCTGTACGGATAAAAAGGTACTAATTCAAGAGGCTATGGGCCTATTGGCTTTGGCCTGCAATAAAAACGATGACACATGCGCTGACAACACCGGCACTAACAGTGACGATTGTGTCGGTGTAGTACCTGCTGTTACGCGACGTCTCAAACAACCAACTCTGGCGGACGCAAAAGTGAGATCGCCGTTAACATTACCAAGGGGAGTAATACCACCCGGTACTGACATTGATAACAATGCACCTTTAATGGGAACCGACGAACTGGATAAAACCACCGTTCCAAATAGTCCCAATGTTCTGAAGGATGAAGAATGGACTACGGTACGTAGGAAACGAAACGAAAGGAAAAAAGCTGCAGGCAGTACACAGGCAGTTAGTAACTCACTGATGGACTCTCATTGTGAGTCACATACTGCACTACCAAAATCTGATGGTATGAGTGAAACCCATCCTGGCGTGACTGAGAAGAAAAATCAAATAACAGCTAAAACTAATGACTGTTTATTTCATAAGTCCTTGGTGGACTCTCAGACCAATCCGCCAAAGTAACGCTTCGTCTAACACTGTTGTGAGTCACGCACAGGACTCTGTTACAATAAAAGCTAATCGTAAGATATCAGTAGTTAATATACAGGATTTATCGTAACGGTCGAAAGCTGTTAACACAATTTTAAAGGAAGCTAAGCCCCTTCTTAGTTTAATTATTCGGAATCTAGAGAAGTCGAAAGATAACGACCCTGCTAGAAGATATGCACATGACCTGCAGTTAGTGGAGTCTGTGGTAAGAAATGTGCTGCCTGAAGGGGTTTCAGGGGTACATATTACAGAAGTAATACGACTCGGTAAATGGGTTGGAGGCGAGACCCAACCAAGAAGAATTTTGAAGCTGGTTCTCGGGAGTTTCGAAGAAAGAGACATATTGAAAAATGCACCGAAAACTCGTGACAAATATCCGTATTCAACCAGATTGACCGCTTGAGGATCGAATCAAGTGGAAGAATGCTCTTACGGAGTTGTGGACTCGCAAATTAAATGGCGAAAATAACCTTACCATTAAGGGTTTTCGGGTAGTCAGGTCTTGGAAGCCAATGCTTCCGAGGCCTGTATGGGTAGAACGATTGATCGCCAAAACACCTTAAGCGTGTGCTACACGAACGCTCGAAGTCTTACAACTAAAACGTCCGAGCTAAGTCTGATGGTAGAAGAATCGGTGAGACTCTAATTTAGCGACGAGCCAATCAGAAGCGTTTAAGCAATTTCAAGGTCACAGAGTCAAGTTGAACACGCGATGCTAACATACGGTCGGTTCACGGCGGATGTTAGAGAGGAGGTGATTAATGAGAGGTTGAAACAGATGGGACGGCGAAACTCTAATTTAGGGACGAGCCAATGAAAAGCGTTTGAGCAATTTCAATTATTAGCCGATCAGAAGACAGTATAAAGTAAAAATATATTACAAGAAAGTAATGAATTACAGTGGATATTCTTCTTTTACATGATTTGAAAACTCGTTGAGGTTTGATAAAGGCTCAGAACTTCTGAATTCATAATGCATATTGTATAGAAACTCGTCCATAGGGTTGGGGTTTGGGGTTAAGTTTAAGGGTTAGGGTTTAGGGTTAGGTTAAGGTTAGGGTTTAGGGTTAAGGTTAGGGTTAGGGTTGGATTAGGGTTTAGGGTTAAGTTAAGGTTAGGGTTTAGGGTTAGGGTTAGATTAGGGTTTAGGGTTAGGTTAAGGTTAGTGTTTAGGGTTAAGGTTTGGGTTTAGGGTTAGGGTTAGATTAGGGTTTTGGGTTAGGTTAAGGTTAGGGTTAAGGTTTGGGGTTAGTGTTAGTTCAGGGTTAAGGTTAGGGTTTAGGCTTAGGGTTAGATTAGGGTTAGGGTTAAGGTGCTAACATGTGGTCGGTTTACATCGGATTTTAGAGAGGTGTTTATTGACAGGCTACAACCCTAACCGCTAACCCTATAGACGAGTTTCTATACCATATTCATTATTAATTCAGAGCCTCTGAACCTTTATCAAACCTTAAATAGTTTTTAAATCATGCAAAAGAAGAATATCCACTGTAATTCATTACTTACTTACAATATATTCTCACTTTATACTAACTGTCTTCTGATTGGCTAATAATTGTCAAGGTCATTTAATATTCGTTCAAAGGTCGTTGCTAAATTAGTGTCTCGCCGAAGAATCATGTCCCGATATAATCGTTGTTACAGAAACTTGGTTCACAGTAGATATAGACTGTTCTCCGTTCATTGAAGGCTATATATGTATTAGAAGTGATAGAGTTTCAAGTCGAAAAGTGGGAGGTATAATATTATACGTTAGGGTACACTTTCGTATACAATCAACCATATCAGAGGCTCATATCAGCGGCACATGTGAGGTTGCATATTGTAAGATTAAATCTAGAAATGGGTTAGTGACTATAGGGGGAATATAGCGTAGTTCGTTTTGTCTTGCTGACGACTTTATTCTATGGCAGAATGTTGTCTCATCATTGGGGACTTCAACGCACCGCATGTCAACTGGATAGGGCTTACAGCTCCAAGTAGTGGTTTCGATAGCGACCTTTTATCTACCGTTATTCAGTGTGCACTTGCACGATGTATCACAAAACCGACATATATTGATTTCAATCATGATCCGTCACTGCAGGACCACAACCTCACCCACCACTGTGAGGATGTCTTTGATATTCAACACCTTCCTCCACTAGTGAACAGTGATCACGTTGTAATTCACTTTAAGTTTAGGACACATGGTGTACAATTCGTATCTTCTCCACCCCGTCCCAATAACTGGCGAGCCAATATTCCGGCGATCAGAAACTGCTATCTCGACTGGTTGATCGGTTGACGCGGATGGATTAGAATAGTTTCAAGGCTACAGTCGAGTCCGTAACGTCGCCGTTTATCCTATGGTCAGCACGTAAGCTATCACATTGCCCTCCATGAATTAATAAGGAAACCCGGAAACTGTTAAAGCCTAGGAAATATTTCTGGGACTTATTCTTGTTGACAGGTCATGAACCATTTAAGCGTGAGTACCAAAAATTCCGTAATATCTGTAAGAAAACCATAGCCGAATCCCGTAGCACTTACAAACGACAGTTAGTATATGATAGCCGTACTTGTCCGAAACGATTGTTTTCGTATGTTAAACGACGGACGTTACGTAGTGATGATATTCAATCGTTACTGTTACACGAAAATTCAGAATTACTAGCTGAATCAGATCGAGCGAAAACTGAGACTTTTTCAAACTATTTTAGCGAAGTCTTCTCAACGTTTATTGTAACAAATACTTGTCCCACTGACACCGAGACACCAACCATGGAATCCGTTGGTAACTAACCTCAAACCTGTTAAGACACCGGGCCCTGACGGGTTAAATCCACGGTTGCTGTCATCTCTTATGGACATTATTCTAAAACCGCTTGCGACACTCTTCAACATGTCCCATTCACTCGCTCAACTCCCTAGAGATTGGAAGGACGCTATAGTCAGTCCTATATTTAAGGACAGTCAGAGACATATAGTATCTAACTACCGGCCTGTTAGTCTAACTAGCATAGTCGTTAAGTTACTTGAAAAGTTAATTCGGGTTAGGTTGCTAAGCCACATAGAAATCAATGCTGTGAAGAGTTTGCTAATGCACATCGGTCACCGTAATGGTGACCGCTACACTATTGAGGGTAAACCTCTTCCATGCGTCCAAGAGCATAAAGACTTAGGAGTAGTATTAAGTCATAATTTAAAAACAACTACGCATTGCAAAGCAACCGCTGTCAAAGGTTTTCGTACGTTATGGTCACTTCGCCGAGCGTTCAAATATTTTGACGAGAAAAGGTTTCGGATTTTATATCCCACCTATGTAAGACCACACTTAGAGTACTGTATCCAAGCAGCTAGCCCGTGTCTGGTAAAGGATACTAACTCTCTTGAGCGTGTCCAGCGTGTAGGAACGAAATTAGTGAAGGGTCTTTCTAGACTCCCTTACGATGAGCGTTTAAAACGCCTAAATCTTTTCCCCTTATCGTATCGTAGCACACGAGGTGACCTTATACTGGCATTTCGTATCTTTAATTATGATTTGGGTGTTAATATTGTTAGGATAGTCGGAAAAATATACCAATAATTATCGTGTTAAGCCTATGGTGGCCTTGGACCTTAAATATACATTTCCTATTGGTCGATGTTTACTTCACTTGTTAAATATTTTGTAAATGTTGTTTCGTATTTTATGGTACGATGTGGTATGCTTGATTGGTATATAAACAAAGTATGTTTGAAATATAATGATTCATAACCCAGAGGCTGTGACTTTTGTTCTTGACTCAACTGGCTAGGACGGATGGGATCAAAGTGAGTTCTTCCAATACGGCATCGTTAAAAAATGATAAAAGGTGACGTCGTTCTTCATTAGTTAGATCAAGACCATCGTCTTCCGTGATAACCTCAACAGCAGGTGAAGTGCTTGTTTCGTTATTGGCGCCCTGAACTTCTGTTGTTAATTTTTGACGAGTTGATTTCCCACGACGTGTAGGTTGTTTACGGCTAACTGAATTACTTACAATACCAACTTTAGCTAAATATTTGACATCATCTCCTGGTATCTTACTAGAATCATCACCATCCAAATCACATCTCACTGCTGATGCAGTAATGATAAATCGATTAACAGGTGCAGTTCGCATCTCACGATTAATATATCCACGTTTCTTTTTTTGTGCTTCACTAACATGATCTGTACGAAAGAATTTGTTCCCGGATCCTTGTATAGTCATCCCTTCGGGACTCAACGTATCAGCACTGTTTACCGATGTTGTCATGTGTTCTTCTGATGGTCTGGGTAGAGACTGTTTGAATTCAGCTAGTTGGTGAATCGGAGGGAAGATAGTTGACACAGTTGATATTTTCAGCCCAGTGAACAATGATGGTTTCGGACGCGGTGGTTCACAGTGTGAAAATGGTGTTTCCAGTGCAGAACTTGACAAACCCGTAGAGTCCAAAAACTTCTGCTCATGTTCATCGGCAGATTCAACGGTTCCGTCAGGGGTAACAATAACTCGACGATATAGTGAGTTGGCAACATGTGGAAGGCAACGACCCAAAGGCAGTCCCATACATAAGAAAGCCTGTGAGTGAAGGGGTAATTCCGGACGACTGTGAGTTTTCGAATCTGTTGATCGTTTAGACTCAGTCTTTGGTGTCTGAATAAGGCGGACCTTTGAGCATCTTTCACGCTCTCGATCATCTTCTTTTAACTGTTCATAACTCTTTTCATAACTAAGCATATTCCTCGTAAAAACTCGATTAATGTAGGCCCTCTTAAAGCGAGGGAACAATTTTAACAACATTCCTAGCTCTTGTACACAATCCTTTCCTTCATATGTCCTTATTTTCTTTTCCATTACATCATCCAATGGAACAGAAGAAAATCGTCCACGACCACGTGTTTTTGAACGCATAGTTGGTGTGAAAAACTTCTGTCCTCGCCCTGTAGAATTGATACCACACATCAAACCAACGTTGTCGTTCATAATGACGGGTGAATTCATGACAGGAGGCTGAAGTGAAGCAGATGATTCACCGATACCAGGAACTTGACCATGAATCGGTAGTGTGGATGAAGCGTCCATATCAGTGGTTGTGTTGTATATATCTAAATTGACTATGTAATTGGGCATACTGGACCCTTCTGCTTCGCCACTCGTGTCAATATGGAAGCTAGCCTAAAAGTCTGGGGCTTCAATAACAGACACCATCTTTTCTGACAATAAAGTACTGTTTTTAACATCTCGCCCGTCATCAGTTTTCATAGTTCGCTTTTCAGAGCTTACAACACCAGGGCATTCATCCGTCATCCGTCACCCTGCAGTCACACCCGTTACAACAAACATGTCTTATCTTTTTGCTCCCTCCAGCACTAATAATCTCCGCGGTCATAGCGAGAAGGTTCATAAACTAAGATCTAATAAACGTTAAGTGGGGTTCCGTTTTTCTCATCCAGTGGTCAATCATTGAAACGCCTTACCCGAACAAGTGGTATCAGCCCCATCAGTGAATACTTTCAAGGAGAAGCTGGACGTTCAATGGAAATCAGTGTCAGGATTAATACAGGTTCATCAACCTACCATCCTTATTACTGAAGACTGAAGACTGACTGAAGTTGCCAAAGAAAAGGTCGTAAAGCTTGGAGTGTTCAAGACCATTTTTCCTGCTGTGGATGTGTCTGAAGACTATTCACAGCCAAATGCACATAAAGTAAATTTGTTTAAACAACAGAACTTTTGGAGGGTGTTTTTTCAGTATTTAATATGCTTTGTATCTCTCAGTGTTATGTGAATTGCAAATGTACACAATGGTAATGGTATCGGTTATTAGTGGCTAAGTCATGGCCATCTAAGTAATTTATTTAAAAAAACTAATAGATTCCCGCAGTTTATGTGCTGTTTTAAGTGATGATGGAGGATTTCTCGCTCAAAAATTTAGATATCCTAAATATTAACGTTCATCGTAGAGGCTATGTAAAGCCAAAGAAATACAGCCTTTCAAATGAAGTCTTGGGATATATTCACTTTTCTGAGAGAGAGGTACCTTGAAATTATTATGAAAATGGGCCCGAACGAAAATATATGATCAGTCTCGTCCAAAATATCAATAGAGTTATTCGGGGTAACCTAGTTATCTAGTCTCGTCCCAGTTTCTCGTAAGTTACATTCCGGGATCAGTTCTCAAAAATTATTCAAATCAAATCCTATGATTGATGTTAACGTATGATCTTCGGTTCAACCCTTACATTATCTTAGCTTCATATTTTTCACGATTTTACTTTGAGAATTGGCAATTCAATATGAAGTTTGATTATGCTTAGTAAAGGACATGGACTTACTTGTGGAGCAGTGAATTAGTGGCCTGAACTATTGACTTTCAATGAATGGGTTACTTGTTTATTGTATGTGAACACAGTTTTGCCTGAGTATCTGCTAACATTCTCGTCGTCTGAACTTTCATGAATTGATCTTCCACTAAGAGCTCCGCTCATTGACTTATAATACGGAAATGACATTGTCCTGTTTGTTGAAGATGCCGATAAAATGCAGTCTTTTGGCAATTCTGAGCAACAACATCTGATGCAATTTGTTGCTCCAGGAATGGCTTGAGTCAACACCTGAACTAAGGATAGAGAGTGAAGTAGTCGAAAACGTCACTTATCTCGGAAGTCCGGTCAGCCCTAATGGGTTGGTGTCTGAAGAAATCTCTGCACGGATTCAGAAAGCCTATCTAGATTTTGAGAACTTACGTGACCTATGACGAAGGTGAGATATCCGTCTGTCAATTAGAAGTGCATACTACGCAGCAGTTCGTCTTATTATACTTCACGACTGCAAAACGTAACCACCATGAGTAGAAGACATTAGTAAGTTACTATTATTTAGTCACAGATATCTTAGAAATATAGCCCTCACATGATGGGGTCACCGGGTAAGTAATAGCGAGGTTAGACGTAGAGTATTTGTGAATGATGGTCAATCAGTTGATGAGGTTGTAAATCTTCCCAAACTCTTATGGTTTGACCACATGTTACGTATGCCTGAACACCGATCATCACGATGCGCGATGCTTGCTGGTGTTGTAGATGGTTTAAAAGAAGTTCGGGGCGGCCAAACCAAAGCCTGGCATCAGTCCAAAAGTCACTAACTTCTAGTCTGAGCCATGTTGGTAGATGCGGACTACTTGGTTGGGGTCCGCGCTACTATCCTAACCAATGGTTGAAGAATCTGGGTGACATGGTTCAGAATCAATCACAATAGCTTAGGTTTATACACTCCTTGTCGTCCCTTAAACGGTGAGATTAAAATTGCTTTATACATTTCTTTCTACGAACTAATTCTTTCTCTCTGTTTTATATCCTTATACGAAATCTTTCTCCTATATTTTACTATTATTGAAGTAACTACTTCTATGAACTAGGCGTTAACCTTGAGCTAATGAGGCGTGGCAACTTGAACCGATGCATATATGTGCCTGGTTCTGCATTGCTGCTGACTGACTGACTGAAATATTATGTCTCGAAAATATTTTTATTCAGGTTATAGTCACCGGCATTTCAAATGTTTTTGAATTTATGGCCTGGTTTGTACGTAGTTTTAGATCATCTACCTTGTTTTGTCTTTAATTTTGCCAGTTTAGTCACGGTTGCAACATGTGTTTAACATTTTTCATTCCCATTTACATTTTCTGTTTGTGTTGACCAGATTACCTTCAAAGTTGAGGAAAAACGCTTCGTTACTGCCCGAATGTCAATGACTCATGGAACTGATGGAATTACAAAGGCATGTGGAAACGTTCGTCTCAATAATTTTGCTCACCGTGCTGAATGTGCTGATATTAATGTTGAGATCGGTTCAAACCAGATGGTTTCCAAGTAATTTTTACTTTTGATAAACTCGTCGTACATTGTGTAACTTCTTGTCCCGTACTTTTCGGCTAGCGCTTTATCGTTATTAATAATAAGAACCAACTCCATGATAGTCAGTGATCCTGTGTTACACGACGCATAGTGGTTTCATGAATTACCAGGAATGTCATTAGTCCTTGATTTCTATGCTATCTGGACCAGTAACTGTGTAAGAGTTTATTGCACGAAATTGGTTACTATACGTCAAAAAGGGGTAGTATGTATCAGTTTATGCTGTCTATGTTATTGAGAACTATAAGGCTTTACGTTGAACCCTCGTTATTTTCGTAGTATTTTCACATTCAGTAAAAGTATTGTAGTGACTCACTTTTACCACGAGAACACGATTGGTTTAATAAAAACAATTATTATTAATATAACCAATTGTATCTGTTCTTGTTTAATGTGCCCTTTGTTTAACTTCGCTAAAAACATCCATCATTCTTACACTTCGATTGTGAACTCGCGCGAATTCGTTTACGTTCTGTAAACAAACTTGTATCCTGGCACGATCTCGGTATCCTTCCGATACCACGAGATCGCCAGCAAATATATCTCGACTTGGTCCATTAACTGCCTTCTGACATTTGGCTTCCGGGGGATTTTATGGATATATTTGGCTGTGTTCATAGTCTACCGCGACTCGACGCCACGCTACAGTATCACCACTGAATATCGATACTATAAGCTTAAACGAAGCTAAATCTTGGTTCCAATAGTCCAGAACATTCGAATATATATTTTAGGATGTGAATCATACCAGTACTTTAGTTGTTCGGAAATGATTAAGTGATTGTTAATGATTACGAATAAGTCACGTGGCACTAACTGATATCGTTGAAGATACATTGAAAATACAATATGGAACTTCACACTGAACAAGTCAGTGGACAAGGTTCTTTATCAGTCAGTTTGTGAATTCTGGAGTTGATCTGTTGAGAAATATTATCTATGAGGACCCCATATCCCTGAAATCTTTTTGCAAGAGATAAACACTTGTGATGCAAAATATGTGGAACTCCTCATTCTTCAATTAAACATATTCGTTCAGCTAACACGAAGTCACATTATGACAACAGATTTAGAAATGCAGGTGTAATAGTAGCTGGTTTTTCACTACTAATATACCTCCAGTAATGCTGCTTTCCCTTCTTTAGAGAAATGTTGAACGTTGTGTGTCTTAAAAGCAAAATGGATAGAAGTCTATCAAACGTGATACTTCATAAAACCCAGTGTAGTGAATATGAAACATCTGCTCTTAATTAATTTTGGTGGAGATGCAATGAAAATAGAATACCGGACTTCACACTGAATAAGTCGGTTGACAAGGTTTCTTATCAGCCAGTCATTTCTTATAATCTTCTATAGAAACGGTTTGTGGCGATTGTTATCCCTAAGCGTAAAGAAAACTCCGTTCCATTCAACTCACTCGTTATTAATTAACTGTAACGAGATTACTGTTCTAATTTTTCTAACCTTAAAGTCTCTCATAACAGGGTGGTGGAGAATCAGTGTTAAAGTATTCACAAAAGTCAGCATCTAAATGCGATTGGATAAGCACAGTATCGATTTGATTTGATTGTTCAGTGCCACATATTTATTTGATTATTTTGATCATGATAATTATCTTAAAGAAGTCCAGACAAGTTTGGCGGACGAAATGTTGAAATTATATAGATTTCAATCGCTGAGATCGTTTCAAAGATAGTTTACACTTTTAATGACCTCTTGTCCTTTTTATTCAGTATTTAATCATTTTTGAAATATCTCAATATATATTGTCTGAATATTCAGCATCACTGATGAAAATGTAGCTAGCGCGTCCAATATTCTTTGAAGATAATGCGCTACAAACTAGAGCCCTTCTTTTACTGTGGTTCGAAATTTGGTTGTACTGTTATAGAAAAGCTACTGTTATGGGAGAACTAAAGACATTTAGCTGATTACAATCTTTTTATTGTATATTCAAAATTTTACTGTGTTTTCTGGATGTATTTGTTTTACTCAACGTCTGAACTTGTTTGTTTATATCATTATTTCGGACATTTTGGTTTCTTTTGTCTTTGGTTTGGTATTTGGGAGTTTCTGCTCCAACAACCTAGAAAATTGAAGGTTTGTTTTGTAATTGTTATAATTATTGTTGTTAGGACGACATTTGGGTCGACTATTTGTACACTGCGAATAAACTTTGTTACCTTAATTGGAGTTTGGTTCTATTGTTAATTTGGGTTCGTAATTTGCAAATAGATCGATATACCGTACTTCAATAACGGGAACGAGCAAAAACGTGGACGTGACATAAAGTTCTTCAATTATTGGTTCTGTGTTCATAACTTGGATTTGTCTGCACCATTTGGATCAAACTTTTTGGTCCTATTGGTCGATTTCGTTCGGATTAATT